AAAAAAAAAAAAAAAAAAAAATGTTGATCTACTTTCTTTCCTTCCTTTGGATTGTGACAATTGGATTATCTGTGGGATGTGGTATTTGCTTTGTGACAATTGGATTATCTGTGGGATGTGTCATTTGCTTTGTTTGACTGATAGGCTTTCTTTCCTTGTCAGGTTTGGTTTCCTCCTCATCCTTTCCTTTAACTCCTCTTTTTTGCCTTTTGGCTGCGGGCAAGTGGGTCCTTGTGACACACGGGGATGGGGGCAGCCAGCGCTCAACCTGTCATCCACGTGGCTGTCCTTGTACGTAAGAGGTGATATGAACAGGTGGGGCTTTCCTTTTTTTTTTTCTTTTTTTTTTTTCGCCTTTACGCTCTGATTTACAGTGTTGACAATATTATATATATATATATATATATCGTTTGTTGTCCTCTTCTCTCTCTCTGCCTATGGTTTACCGGGCAGTTCTGTTTGTGACGATGGTGAAACTCCGACGAAACAGTTTGTCACAGCCCCTCGTTTGTTGTCCTCTTCTCTCTCTCTGCCTACGGTTTACTGGGCAGTTCTGTTGTGACGATATATATATATATGTATATATATGCCTACGGTTTACCGGGCAGTTCTGTTTGTGACGATATATATACGAGGGGCTGTGACAAACTGTTTCGTCGGAGTATATATATATATATGATGAGTCGGTGAAACTCCGACGAAACAGTTTGTCACAGCCCCTCATTTGTTGTCCTCTTCTCCCTCCCTCTCTGCCTACGGTTTACCGGGCAGTTCTATTTGACGATATATATATATATACTGCACCTCTTCGTTTGGTCGTAAGGAAGGAAACGTGAGCGGAGGTAAATGTTTTTTTTTGTTTGTTTGTTTGTTTGTTTGTTTGTTTGTTTGTTTGGTTTGGCAAAGAAGAGGTAGGCGTCATATAGCCGAGAACCGGGCCCGACGTCCCTTACATCATATTCTGTGGCCAAACGGGTTAAGATGCTTATTATGACTTGCCGGGGGAATGGAACTGGGCCATTCAAGTAAATGTAAAAAATAAAGCTCCTCAGTTTTTGTTTTCTATATTCTAATTATACACCTAATATACAGTAATAAACACATTCTTGAATCCATGACACAACTAATTCAATCTATTTTTTCATGTTTTTTGTTCCATATTTATATTATATATTAATTATGATCTTTTATCAATCAATCAAGGAATAAGATCATGATTAATATATTTATTAAATTATTACGATTTTGTTTTTCTATTTATTTTTCTGATCATGACACCACAGTTCATTCCGGCGAACGGGAAGAAAAGTTGGGTGTTCCCGAATCTTCTTGGTAGCGGCACCTCTGTTGCTCTTGGGGTCTCTTGTGTTACATGATCAGATCAGTATGATTCTCCTGTTAAACCACACCAGTACTTGGCTCAGCTATCGGCCGCGGCGCTGTCCTGTTAACGCGCCACGCCTTTAGGGCTTCGGGGTACGGGACCACAATCGCTGGAAGCGCCAGCCAAAAAAAAATTGAAACGGTACCCCGGCGCTTCGGCGAAAATCGGTGCGCAGGGGCATTCCAGGCTCGGCATCGATAGCTGGGCCAAGTACTGGTGGTTTAAACCATCAGTACTCGGTCCAGCTATCGGCCGCAGAATTTTTTGCAAATATTTTGAGAGTATAAATGTTTCTAGTCGGATGAATTTGGGCGCTCCTGTAGTGGCCCGTACATTTCCTAAAATTGTGGCTCGTGAATGGGCACGACTTTAGGAAGTACTGTTGTTTTAGGAAACGTGCACGCCACTACAGGAGCACCCAAATTCATCCGATTAGAAAGGTTTCTACTCATCTTTTTTTGCCGGCGACCGATAGCTGGGCCAAGTACAGGTGGTTTAAGATATTTCACCTTCTCTTTTCGGAGGAAAATTTGCCCCCTCTTTTCCTTAGTGAAAATTACCCCTTCATTTCTTGAGGGGATTTTGAGTTTACCCAAAGACACGCTGTTTGCTAGGATTCCTATTCGGAGATCCACCCAGCCACTGGGTGCGGCAAGTCCCCTGGGTGAGGTCTGCGGCGACCACGGCGTCAAGTAGAAACTGGGGGAACTTTTCCACTGGGGGGCATTCACAGCCAGGCCAAGATTGCTGCCACAGTCTCGAAAATGATTTTGTGGGGCCCTACTGAAATCAGATTCAACTGTTTATCAACAACATCAAGGGCCGTAATTTCACGGCCTAACACTCTTTGAACCAAATTGAGCCCAGAATCCAATAAAGAATAGCCATATTCATGATGGGCGACCAACCACCCAAAAATAAAAGAGTACATAAACTACTCATTAATATCATATTAGCATACTCCCCTAAAAAAAAAAGAGCAAAACCCATGGAAGAATATTCTACGTTTTTGGGGATGCGCCCACTGCGCGTGGGCGTTCAAATTTCAATGCTGGGTGAGACCATCATTGTGACAGAGTCTTCCTCGTCGGCTGAAGTCTGCTCATCCTCCTCGAGCTCCACCCCCTGTGTCGTCGAACACCATCATCTGCCTGCTGGCCGCATCAAGCGCCATCGCCCTCATCGGCAAGCACAACCGTCGGCGGTCCCACAATCTGCCCCCCTGCCTGGCCTCAAC